TATGTAAAATGATACAGATTTTATATGTGGACATAATGCACAGTTGTTACTGTTTTAGTTGTTGTTTAGTTAGTTTTGTTTAGTTATAGTGAACATTTAATTTATTACTTTTTTCTGTGTTTTTACTACATATTCTCTGTGATTTACCAAAACAGGAAAATCTGTAAAGTAACTTTTTTATTCTCCATTTTTCAGTCATAATTTCTCTTTTAAATATCTGTAAAATAACAATATTTTGTGCAGATTTAAATACAGCGTAAACAGTGTAATTTCACAGTCAAAAGTTACAATTTTCATGCAGTTTTATTATTTTATTTTTTATGAATTAACATGTTGTCCCCTATCATTTTACTAGAATATCCTGCAATTTAACAAAACAGGGAAACTCCGTAAAATAACAGCTTTATTTTTTTTTATTTTAAGTTTTTATACCATTTTTCAATCCTCAATATACATAATCTGTGTACACTGCAGTAAATATAATGTATTTATTGTGTCAAATGTTGTAAAAGAAAAAATGCTATTTCTAAAAATTGTGTTTTTTTTGTTTTGTTTTGTTTTTTGTAGACATTATTCACATTATTCACAGTTTTTGCCTGTTTTTTTACAGTTTATCTGTAAATCAACATTTTTTTCTCTTATTATGTGTAATTTAACAAAACTGGGAGAGTCTGTAAGATAACATTGAACTATTCTTATTATATTTTAATTACAGTTCAAAGAAGCTGGTCCCTCAAGTAACATCCACATGAATGCCACGACCCAAAGTCCCAAAACACTGACTTGTAATGACATATAAGTAAACATATGAATACATATATATGATATATGTCTGCCTATATGGATAGAAGTGGCCTGAATCTATGTTCTGATTTGTCACACTGCTGACCTTCATTAACCTTTAATTTCTCCTGCGGGTGGTTAAATCTGGTTCCTTGACAGGGAGAACAAAACCAAAAAGATCTATTGGATTTAAACCGACAGCTGCGACACAATCACCATCAGCTCACCTCCGTTATATTGCTTGCAGTTTTTCTGACAAGGTGGACACAGTAAATCTTTGTAACACCTCTTAGTCGCTGAGTTGTTTTCCTCTTATCTTGTTCTCCTGTTCTCCACAGTCTAATCTTCATGAGTAAAGGTCAGAGCGTCTGCACTTCTCTGTTCTGCTGCCACTGAACACGTCTGTTAGTCGAGTGCTCATTAGCTTTGGCCTTTAGCTCTTTAAAGATCAGCCTTGACCCACCATCAGAGCGGCACTGATGCATTTTCACCGCTGAGTTTCTCTCCTCAGCCCGTCCCCACATTGTTCACTCCTTTTTGATTGATATAAAAAAAAAAAAGAAAAGTGACTACACAGTTGAGAATATATGGCTTCATGTAACCATATAATAGCATCGGTTCAACACGTAAGTGAGGATTTGTGAAATGACATGTCCAAGCATGCAGGATTGTCCGTGATGTCTTTTGTGACGTGGAGGTTGTTGGCAGGTTGCGACTGGCCCTTCGTACGTGATGCAGGTCATCGCAAGCTGTGATTGGCTTGGATTCAGCCTGTCGTCTGACAGCAAGTATTTAAGGAAACGTGATCACCAAATCTTACAAGGAGGCCATCTGGAAAAACAGAACTTGCTGGTCTAGATTTTGTCAAAAAATATGCTACAAATTCAGATGGCGAAGGAGGTGAATAAATTCTTTTAAAAGACGTTGTGTTCACGCATTTCAGCTTGTCAGCACAGCAGCAGGTTGACAGAATATTGGCTCCGAGCTGCAGAAAGAAATAGAGAGATGGCATTGAGTGTGTTTGTGTTTTGTGCAGCTTTCTGCGTATGTGTGTTTGTGCGCTCAGTGGGACTCCGGTCAGCAGCCTCCTCCTTCTGAATCCGTCCATCTGGTGTTTGAGCTCTGCGTCGTCGGTTTTGGCCTGACACAACATTTTCCACACAGAAACACATGCACACACACACACACACACAGATTGCACCTCTCTTTCTTGCATTTTAAAGTGTCTTTATTGTGCAGCAGCCCATTCGATCAGCCACAGTTTATCTGTGCAGGCAGACTTCTGTGGACACTTGTGCATGCAGTGTGAGGAGCGCGTGTGGTTTTAGGGGATATTACATCGACTTAGACTTCCTTACCTTAAACCTAACCTTACTCCACGTCGTCACCTTAAAATTTAATGATTTCCATGCCCTACCACCGCTACCTCTGTTCCTGTACGCCTTGCACTTGGACCGAGGTGCACACAGTGAATCTTAAAATCACCACTGGGCAGCCGCTCGCTGTAAAATATCAGTCCAACAAGGATCAGGTTAGTGCTCAGTGCCCCATCTGTCAGACAAAGAATCAGTGGACCTATAATTTAATGATTTATCAACAACATAAAAATTGCAGATAATAATTGAACCGCTTAAAATGTATGAACTGATTAGGCAGAAAACAAAGGACATGCATGTCAGAAAATGTGTATTGTAGATTAGCTGTAGTACCCATGTTGGTGAGCAGAGAGCATTGTGGGAGTTTAGATAGTAAAGTGCAACCATGAAGAAGTGTTCTGTGATGCTACATGTCACTTATTCAGTGTCGTCCTGGTGGTGTATGACCGCACTGAGGCCGTATAAAATCTGCAGGAGTTATATCGTGTTATTGATTAATCAATATTGATTTATAAAGCTGCCAACTATCTATTATTAAACTTTTCATAATTTGTGTGCCTCTGTATATAGACCTTGCTTTCCATCCTGGATTAGTCCAGTGTTCTAACTAAACCTTGAAGAGGTCTCGAGAGACAAGATAATCATTGTCTCCTTCTAAAATTCTGTGCACCTATAAGGGGTGCCATCATACACTTATACAAGGTTTGTCAGAAAAGTTCCAGGACTGGTGTCACAAAAGATATATTTTAAACCCAAACTACAAGTTTTCTCCTTCAGACGATCAACCAGCACGTCTACAGTAGGGCAGATATATAATATTCAGTCGTTGTGGTGTTATCCGGATAGCAATTTTGATATCCGAATTTTTGACTTTCCTCTTCCCCGAAGAGCTCTTTTGTGACACCAGTCCTGAAACTTTTCCAACACACCTTGAATTGTCTCGACTGGTCTCCACAGAGTTAGCTGCCCATTTCATTACCGGACATATAAACCCATGTTCACATGTGGTTTTCTTGTCTGAGCTGCACTTTATAAACACTGTTGCCTGTTAGTGTTTATCAGACACAGTAAATAAGTTCTCAGACTGTGACTGTAAATATCCAAAGCTATTTGTCATTTAACGTCAGCTGCCAGTCTTTTCGAATCAGTCTCCTTGTGCAGCGGTGCACTGCTCCCAGTGCTCCAGCAACATCTGGAATTCAGTCAAAGTCAAAATGGCGACCCTTCTGCTTGAAATAGAGGAAGAAGTCACAGGGAGTCAAATCTGGGGAGCAGGATGGGTGGAAACCAAAGAGGACATTGGAGCACCAACACGCTGTTTAGATTGTTTGCGCGAAATGCTGTTCCTCAGACACCTCAGGACGTTAGAGCAGACCTCTCCTGTGCACAACCACAGGAATATCGAAGAAAACAACAACCATGATCCTCATCCGATGTGCCTTTTGGAAGCTGCAGACTCCTTCGCTGTGAAAACTTCTTTTCTTGATGGTCGCTGCAGATCCGTCTTTCATCACCAGCGATGCTCCTCCACATGAAGGTTGGATCATCGCGGCTGCTGACTGACGCAGAGTTTGATGTTTGCTCTCTCCTCCGGTTTGCAGCACATGGACAAATCACAAAGGCGCATCATGGACCAGTAGCAACAAACATGTGTGAGGCTATACACGACTTGTGTAGTGAGCGAACAGGGCCTCCCTTCATTCTGCCATCTGCTTTACCGGACGGTAACATAGCTAAGTAGCTATTGTCAAGAATTTCCTTTGGGATTAATAAAGTTCTATTGCATCTTATCTTAAACACATGAAATAGGCCTGGATATGCCCACTGTCAACAGGATTTGTGTCTCCTGCTTAGTGCTCCTTAAGCAGTGCATGCCAGCTCCTTGCTGACAGCAGTTTCAGTCTCAGTGGTTGTAAGCCAACTGACACAGCTTCAGTTTTTCCACTTTTTTCTGCTGATCAATAATTCAGCTCGCTCTCATCGATCGCTTTTTTTTATTTTCTGTGGGACAACATCCCGACCCGGTGACCCAGAGTACGGATCAATACATTGCAACACAGCTTCTTTATTGATGATATTTAATATGGGAAAGGATATAACTCTTAAGGGGAGCTGCAAAAGTAATCAATGCCTGGCACCACGTCGTCTCATTGATTCGTATGGGAAGTGATATCAGCCTGTTGGTGGCTGCATGGATTTTAGGAAAGCACCACACTTACTCATTTGCATAGAAAACCTTCGAGTATTGTTTACTTTTCGTTTGTTTTTTTAATGAAACGATTTTACACACACATATATATATGATGTATTTGCAAGAACAGCAACAGCACTGTTCTATTTTATTACATGCTCATCTATAAACTATATTGACATTTCAGTCTCAGTTTAATTTTCAGATTACTGTTTTTGGAGAATGTTTTATGTTGCTTTAAAATATGAAATACTGCTTGCATTTTATATTTTTATCTAAGAGTGATCTGAAAATGTGCTTCCATTCTTCAGAGGGACGCGAAAAGGAACAAATTCCTGATGGCTCTGTAGGTCACAGCAAATCTGAGTCTTCAGAATCCCTCAGAAAAGTTCCCAAACTGTGATTTATATCTCATTATAGCTTCAAAATGGATTTAAAGATGTTTGCCATGGTTCGATCAATTTTCATCATTGTGGTTTCATAACAGAAAAGTAGGATTTCAGTTCGGAATGAAAGGTCAAGCAATGCAATTCATTTTTTAGTCCCTACCAGAACTTATTTCCTCTCATCCCACCTAGATGGAAATCTAATAAATCACTTCTGTATGCTGTTTTTTGTCCCTCTCTCTCTCTCTCTGTCTCTCTCTGCAGGAGCTGGAGGTTGGTCTCCTCTCGTCTCAGACAGATACCAGTGGTTGGAGGTCGACTTGGGCGAGCGAACCAAGATCACGGCCGTCGCCACGCAGGGTCGCTACGGCAGCTCTGATTGGCTGACGTCCTACCTGCTGATGTTCAGCGACACCGGACACAACTGGAAGCAGTACAGACAGGAGGACAGCATAGGGGTGAGTCCACACTGTAGTAAACAGCAACAAAACCACCACAACAGTGGGATTAAGACCACATCTCATGGCATGCGCACATTTTTGCTCTCTGGCCCAGAACTGACTCTGTTTCTCCCTGAGGGATCAGTACACATTTTTTCACTTTGTGTACTTCATATGAAGGGATGCCGTGTCGTGCTGAGCTACGTGGCTCCATCCATCCTGCACAGATAAACTCAGTCATCACCAGTTTGTCTTTTAATTCATTATGTATGAGGTGATGTTGGAGCTCTGCTGACTCTGCAGACCTGCCGACAAAACATTTAGCTGCAGATCACGAACAGGCAAGTGCCAGGATTAGTTGATGCTGTGTCTGTCATTTATGTCTGATTTTGCCTCTTTTTGCCTCTTTTTGAAGAGGGACGAAACAGAAACAGGAAGAAATAAAAGGACTGACTGACGTAATGAAAATAACAACCAGCCTGTAATTCCTGGCAAAAGTCAGCTACAGTAGTTTGCACTTGGTTCTTTAACTCAGTCTTTTTACTTTACTCTCAATCTCACCTTGCTGAACACTGTAGGGTAAACTAGTGAATATTTACTTCTACACTGTTAAACAAACAAACAAACAAACAAATAAATAAATCTTTAAAGTCAAGTCTGGCAAAAAGAAAGCCAAAATGATGCGGTACAATTACATTGAAAGACTGTAGAAGCTGTGAAAATAACAGCACAATGTCTGTTAAATAATGATTTTCTTAGTTGATTTAAACAGAGCAAAACTGTGTATTTATATAGTTACACATTGTTAACAAACAAACAAACAAAAGAAACTTTTCCAAAATATGGAAGTTTTGAATGTGAACATTATTTACAGTTTTGGCCTGTTTTATGTTTGTCAACATGTAAATTACTAAAGAAAAATTCTTTGATTTTACTAATTATTTTCTGTAATTTTAAAGTTTAAAGAATTTTGTCCCCATTTTTAAGTCTATAATATACCAAACTTGTCTTACAAGTAACAAAGAAAATCTGTAAAATAATAAGATTTTTTGCTGATTTAAATACAGTAAAAAAAAAATAAAAATAAAAATCTATAATTTCACCATTAAATGCTGTAAAAGAATTTGTACTTATTTTTGGTAATTTTACTAGATATTATCTGTAATTTAGCAAATCTCTGTAAAAATAACAGAAAATTTTGTTTTAAAAATTGCACTTAAAACCTGTTTAAAAACTTTTTTTAAACTTTTTTTTTTTATTGTGTTCTTAGTGCACTATCTGTGGGTCATTGTTGTAGTTTTTCCACCACTGATTGAAGCAACAAGAGGCAGAAACATGGCAACAGCATACAGCATGAAGTGAAAAGGCTCAGCTGCTCTGTCGGGCTGATTAATGAAGAAATTGGTCAGATGGACAGCCGAGGCGGCGAGGCTTCACCTCCCGCCTCCTCATAGACACAGCACTTCCCCTCAGTGTTTTCTCATTCCACAAGTGTCATGCTGTGCTTGTATTTGTCCCACTGCACTGGTGGTACATGCTTCAGCATACAGGCTCGGGAATACTAAGTAGTTTTTGGTGTAGAAAGCAGTGATTAATCCTGTCAGCACAGCGAGCCGCTTCAAAACATGCTGAATTCGTACCTGCATTTCCCCACATTGGCTCCAACACCGAAGCAAATAGTGCAACAAACTTGGAAATTTTCCCCCTTTGAGCGTCGACATTTATCCGAGGTGAAGCCACATTTGTTACAGCGCTGCCGAGAGGAGCTTTTGATTAGAAGTTCAGCTCAGGCAATTTCCTCATGTGGAGGGAATCCGGCTAATCTCGGCACTGAGGATCTTTTCTGAGAGAGCAGAGAACGACAGGGTGACACGGGAATGGATTTTCCCGTCCCACTCCCACTGAAATACTCCTGTCCCATCCCAATCCTGTCACAGAGTCTAAAAAAAAATCCCAGAAGAATGAGTAAAGTCCCATCCAGGTTCAGTGTTGGATCTTGGTTGTTAGTCCCTTTTGACTTTTAGGAACTTGTTTAAAACTTGAGACTTGGCCGACACTCTGAGAATTGTTCAGACTTTAGAAACTTCAAAGCTGCTGTTAAAGACTCACCTCTTCTCTTTGGCATTCGATTCAAGTTGAACCCGACACCCTGACTTTAGGATTTAGGGATACGTGTACCTTTAATTTTTAAAAATTATTTTATTGCTTTTCAATTCGATTCAATTAGATTTTATGGTTTGTTATTTCAACTGTGCGTTCAACTTTATGGATGAATTTGACTTGACAAAAGCGGCGTCAGAGTTAAAATCAAATAATTATCTTTTTAGTCTGTTGAAACACCATCTTCCATTCAGATTTGTGTTGCTGCATGATGCACCCTTACACTTCATGCACTGGTCAGGTGGCAGCAATCAACCAACAACCAGACAGACGCTGGAGCAAATACCCATCCATCAGCTTTAGGGAGGAAACTGGGCCCAGAACCTCACGGAGAGAATGAAAAAATTAGTTCAAATAATGTGTAAAATAAAGGAAATATGTGTTGATATTAGAGCTGCATATTTACATATAACTAGAGAGCCCTCAGTAGAGGGACCCAGTGTATGCATGTTTACCTGATTCTGTGTTTTACTGTGAGCCTACATGAGGATGAACTTGCCTTGATTTTTGCCAATGATCCATAATGTAACAAGAGCTTCGTCTGTCATGTAACACAGATATTTCGGATGGAGGGGAAGCGTTTCGCTGTAATTTACGCCTACGGCTAAGTACCTAAGATTTATTACCTTGAGTTTGACCTTGAACTTTCGTCCAAGGTCAAATGTCACCAATATGGGTTCTTATTTGATTGTAATAAGAAACTATGTGTCTATCTTTACACCCTTTGCAAGTTTAAATTGAATTTTAAATCGATTTGTGATGATTTAAGACCTTGAGTGTGACCTTGACCTTTTGTCTCAAGGTCATATGTTACATCACCAGTTCATAGGTCTTGAATGTCTTCCTAAGTTAGTATAGAACTGAACTTATGTCTGTTTGTGCATTTCCAGTCACACAGAACTGTTTTGGGGAATGCACCCTTTGACCTCTGCAGTGGTCACCAATGCATGTATTGATCACAAAGTCTGATTACTGAGACCATGCCAACGTCATAAATGAAGCTTACGGTTCAAACTAGTCTCCTGTAATGCGCTAGACTTAGCAGCCAAAAATTGATTTTTTATAGTTTTCCAACGATGGGCAACTATAAAAAGCGAACTCCTGCTCTTTTGATGGCCGTCCCACCCGCTCCAGTTTACCGTTTCTAGTGTCACATGATGAAAAGTTGCCTCCTATCCAGTGGGAATCCCAGCAGGCTTGTCGGCCTCAACGGAGAACAGCTCCTCACAACTTAAAAACACGTTGATCTGACGCTCTACATAATCTCTGCACAATCCCAGTCACATTTCAAAGTGTTCCTGAGCTTCTGAACCGGGCTTAGAGAGTCTCTCGGAGGAGGAAGTTGATGGCAGAGCCGCTGGATCAGCCACAACCGGGCTTCTGCTCTCAACACAGTGGGCTGAAGACCAGGGGAGGAAATATGTTGTTTTCCTTATTCTCTCTGAGGACGTCGTCTTCTTCTTTTTCTTTTCTTTTTTTCTTCTCTTTCCTTAGAAGCCTGTGGGTGCTTGGAAATACTGCAATCCATCTTTTCTTTATTGTCTTTCTCGTCCTTATCTGTTTTCTCTCGCCTGGAGGGCTGAAGATGAGGAAAGGATTCCTGCTCCTTTCACTTTACCCTGTTTCTCCAATTTCCTCTATTGCTTAATTCTTCTTTTCTTATTAGCTTTCTTTACTGTTTATCCTCCTCTACTCTTTGCTGCATTTCCATATTTCTATGCTTCTTGTCTTGAGCTAAAGTTCCCGCTGGTTGATATGTTCAGCATCTGACTTTTTTAAACTTTCACAGCTGTCACTGTTTGCTGCATACACACAGAAAAACTACTCTGACTTTGCCATACAAGACTATATGTGATCTACCGCAGCAAAAGAACAGCATCTGAATTGCATTCAAGCACTTCAAGTTATATTCTTGTCCTCTTACAAGCTTCTGTGCTGTTACATTGTTAAACAGCACGACATCTCTTCAGGAGGAGGTCAGAGTCGCTGGTTGGGTGCACAAAGCTCGTAGCTTTGACCCAGATTAGTGCAAGCTCATGCCTTGTCTGCAAACAACATGCATTTTTCATAATAGCAATCTTTCTGCAGTGGAAAATGTAGTCAGTTTTATTGAATATCACTGTAATCAAAAAGTTAGAGCAGATGACATGATACAGAAAAATACAATTTATTGCTAAAAGAAAGATTATGCAGATTACAGCTTAATGATTATTTGAAACATTTCTTTTTTGCCATCTATGTTAGTCAAAGAATAATCGTCTTTGTCCAAACTTTGGTGAAAATGTCAAACATCAGCTGTTTTTTGCTCCATGAATGTACAGATTTGATGCTTTTCACACATGATAATGAACATTTAAAGTCAGTTTGTGAATCGTTGTGTGGAATTTTAACAACCAGCAAAATAATCAACAGATTGTGTTCTCAATTCCAGTGACTGAGAAAGTTGAATAGTTCTCTCAAGAAGCCCCCTTTCTTATATTTTGGTGATACGTTAGTAAAGCTAAAGGTTTGAATAATACAGTTTTGTGTATTTTAACCTGCCTAATGCCAAACCTACACTGCTTACCTTATCCTTACACATCTTTCCTGTAACAGACCATCAACTTAACGCATGCTTGTAAACTTTTTGTCTCATTTCCTCTTTTTTCTTTGTATGCTGTTTTTGTCCTGCACTCACATATCCACCAGCTTTCTCTAACTGTAACCAAACATTTTAATTCCATCAGCCAGAGCTAACCTTGACCGTAGAGTTGGCCGATCAGGAAACGGTGCAGTTCATCTTTTTTTTTCATCATTTTGGATTAATTAAACAAACGTGTCCTTCCTCAAGGGATTTCAGAAATCTGAAAATGCTTTTCCGCTTAGACTCACAATAAGTTGAGTTTAACTCTAAAGTTTTTAGATTCACGCGTGTGTGAAGCATCTAAAAATGTCAAGTGAATGAAATTTATCCGAGGAATACCAGTTTTTGAATTAATCTTTCAACAAGGTTTTTTTAAATGCTTCAAAAGGCCGCGAGTTAAAAGTTCTGAACCCACAAACAGCCGCACTAACTTATTTAAATGTGAAAGTAAAAAGTGAATTGACAAGGTTGCATTTCAGCATTTTATTTTAGTTTCTTTCAGTGGAGCACAAGGTCTCTTTTTATCAAACAAAGTGATCCAACTGCACTCTTTCGCGATTACAGAAGAATTAATAAGTTAATTAAGTGTCTAAGCTTTTATTCAGTGGTGGGAGAGCCAGTTAACCTGCATGTCAACTTCAAGGGAGGCATGTAATTAGGATAGATAGCCAGATGGAGGAGATGGAAGCAGAGGGAAAGAGAGATGGGAAGCGATCCATCAGGCATCCAGCCCAGAGCCAGAGAGAAGCAGATAATCAATTCCTCCCTCCTACTCCAAATTTTGTGGAAAGATTTTAGAATGAAGCAGAATATTGAATATAATTCCCTCAAAGGAAAAGTTTCCAAAGCTGGAAAGATGCAAACTGCTGTGAAAATGTGATTTCATCTCTATTTCATTCCTCATCTGCTCACCAGAAGCAGCTTTTCACATCCAACATGTTGTGTTTAGAGTAGCTGCGTGTCCTTAATATGACCATAAGACAAGCTAAAAACAACATAGATGCTGTATTCATGTGTTGAATGGAACCAAGAAACTAGTTGATTAAAGTTTCTACCGAGGAATCTGATCCAGTGATGAGTAACTCAATAAATCTGCAAACTGCACAGGATGAACTTGACATCAAACAAGTTGGGCTACAACAAAACAAAGACTATGTGGGAATCAGTGGTAATAAGCTGAACAGCAAAGACGCTGAATCTCCACCTCTGATGCTGAATCTTTACTACTGAGCTCATTGTTTGATCAGACCATTGATTGAAGATTGAAATAGACCATGTAGATGTTTGTGATCCCCTAACAGTTCATTTAGCACCATCATCAGTTAAAAAGGTGACTTTGGGGTCTGTAGCTGTAAAACTATTAACAGTCCCACCAGCTTTAGCCACTATAGCATGCTAGCATACAAAACTGACACATAAACATAGTAAACATGTGCTACGCAGACTAATATCGCCATTGTGAGTAGATTAGCGTGTTAGCATTAGCTCAGCGCTCTGCTATGCCTCAGTGCAGCCTGATGGGGTTGTGTGTTCTTCAAGTGTTGTCACTTTAAATGCAGATTTGACTAAACTTTTATAGCTGGGTCATTCCTTCACTAGCCATCACATTTTTAGAAACTCTGTCAGGCTATCTGCTCAGTCAGTTATGAAAGTTAAATGAAAATAACTTTTCATTTTTGTGATCAAGGTTTCCATATAAAAAAATATTCTGTATGATTTTTTTGTATTATTCTGACATGCAGCTACATATGGGTCAGAAAATATCAGTAGTTGACTTCTGCATTATCATGGCAGCTTAATTAGGGTCCGAGCACCAAAGGGTGCGAAGACCCTATTGGAATTGCTCGGGTTTGTTATTATTTGTCAAAATGAAACGCCTTTTTGAGGTACACAACGTACTCACACACTCACCAAACTCGCCACACACACCAGACCCGGCGAAAAATTTTATAATTAGGGGGAAATACTCACCTCAATAGCAAAATGGCTCAACAGCGCCCCCTACAAAGTTGCAAAAAAATGGGCCCCCGAACACACTTTCACGTACAGCCACAAAATTCAGCACACACATGTAACAACTCCAGACGCACAAAAAAGCCTCAAGAACACATACCCGAAACTCAACAGGAAGTCGGCCATTTTGAAAAAAATGGTGGCTTGCCAAAATTTACCTCCTCTCGGGGGTAAGTCGTACACACCTGAAATTTGGCCAGCACCAAGTACACGACGTGGTGATAAAAAGTTATCAAAACACTCCGTAAAAGTCTGACGGTTTGGAAATGGCGGCCCGGGCAATTTGCATCAATGGCCATTTTGTCCATTTTTTTGGTGTTTTCAGCATTCAACGGGGTGCCGTCGGAAGGCCGTTTCATCTACACCTACAAGATTCGTTGGGGATGTGTAGCAGGTCGGAACGCACAAAAAAGTCAATTGGCGCCAAGCCCGAAACCCCACAGGAAGTCGGCCATTTTGAAAAAAATGGCGGCTCATCGCAGCCATTTATGGCAGGCTTTTATCATTAATAGTTCCTGAGATGTTGTTGTTGTCAAACCTGCTGAAAGTGGGTCAGTGGGCATTTTTATTTTTTTTTTTTTAGTTATCTTGGAATGTGCTTCATATATAATGCTAAAATGTCACAGATACGATTTTAAATATTCATAATTTATGATACAAAGTAGCTTTGAAGAAAATCAGGGATGGTTGAGCAGAAGGTACCTGATGATTTGAGAAGCTACAACCAAACTAATCTATTGTCAGACTACTTCAGCAGTAATGCGGTCATTTGTTGTCATTGTTTATTTTGTGTGTGTTTGTGTGTTTGCAGTCATTTCCAGGTAACAGTAACGCAGACAGCGTGGTTCAGAACAAGCTGCAGCAGCCGACATTCGCCCGCTTCCTCCGCCTGATTCCTCTGGACTGGAACCCCAACGGACGGATCGGACTCCGTCTGGAGGCCTACGGATGTCCTTACAGTAAGTTCTATCTTCTATGGCGTGGTCGGTCTCTATGAAATTATTAACTGTATTTATTCAGTCTGCTTTTTAAAGTCCCTCTCTAGGCATCAATTCAACCCCTAAAAACTCATCTCTGTGCATCACAGTTACATAATTAGAACCTAAAACCTGGATTTCATTGTTAATTTCTCCACTCTTTTATTGTTGCACTGTTCTTCTTTCACACAACCCGAGCATATTGTATTAACAGCTCCCTTTGTTCCTTTTAAATGTCTGCGTTTATACACGTTGGCAGCTTCAGCCGTGGCATCATCGCAGTAAACTAAAAAAAATGCGACTCTGGGTTTTTGCACACGAGCATATGGTCAGATCTATTCGCATTCAGTCGCACAACAGGGTTTTTCTTATCGCTACTGGCTCCACTGTGGCGAGAAAAAAAATAAAAATTACAAATATCCCAGTTTTCTTATTTAAAGCCAGGAATTGATTCTGCTTTCAGAAAACAGCAGATATCAAAGCTGTCACTGCTCTTCTTATTTCTGCCGTGAAAACATGCTGCGGCTTTATTTGCTCAGTGTTGTTTTTATTTCCTAAAGGACTTATATCCCGCTGATTCCTGTAAGGATGACTCAGCGTGACTTTGCACACATTACGTCTTCACTGAATGTGTTCATCTCGTTCTTTATCCCCTCGACAACTTGGACAGCCAGTAAAACGGGAAATGTCATGGTTTGCCTGTTTTCCTGAGGTGTTTGTAGTACTTTGTACTCTCAGCGTTTCCTTCATTAAAACACAAAATGCTCATGAATATCAAAAAACATCTTCAAGTATTTACATGTACAGAATGTCCCTCTGGGAATAATGAAGTCAGTCTAAGTACCGGTACAAGCTCAAATACACGAATCAAACAGTAAATATTAATTTGCAAACATGATTTCCATGTGGGATTTAATGCACATCTGTCTGTGCACATGATTTCTGGTTTCTCCTTTCATCTGGTTGCTGGATGCATTTATTTAAAAAGAAATAAAGAAGAGTTTGTTTTTAATGCTGATTCTTTAGAAAAGTGGTGGCATTCTGTAATTTCACTTCTCACCAATTAAAACAAACATTTTTCAGAAACTTTCTCTTGTCTGGTGTCACCATCCTAAACTCAAACATCTTCCTTTTTCCATTTTTTCATAATTACAAATTAAATGTATGAAGGTACCTGTTTGGACTGATAACATTCCAAATTGATCATATATTAAATTGTAATTAAATTAAAATTCTTCCAACATAAACACAGTTTAAGAGTCATGTGGGTGCTTTGAGCTAATGCTAATATTAGCAGATGTTAAGAAAATGCAAAGTGTTAACATGCAAACATTTACGAAGCACGATACAAAAAGCTCAGCAGCTTATTGGGATCTCATCAATTTTTCAAAGATTTAGTTATAAATGAAAAAAAAACAACTCAGCTAATTATATCAGTTTAAGAGTGAGGTGTAGAAATTTAGCGTTCCAAATTTAGAAATAAACCAATCAAATGTATTTAAACATCAATACTTTCATTTAAAAAAACAAAAACTTGCGTTTGAGCTTTATGGTAAAAATTATACTGTGCAAACATTTTTTAGTCTACTTTAAATTATATTTTAATGAGAGCATTTCCACAGTTATAACTGGTTCCTTAATATGTGACAAAGGACACATAATAAATAGGATTGTCATCATAACTATCTGCAAAAAATTACAACAAACAGTGGCACGTGGTCTTCAAATTTTTAAAACAAACAATATTGTGGATTGAAACTCATTCATCAGTTTCTTTGTGAGGACTTATAAGTGAGTTTTATTCATATTTTCTGCCTCTGCACAGCTTCAGATATCGTGAACAGTGCACTTCATGTACAACACACGAGTGTCAGTGGTCTGCTGACCTTATCAAGCTCACGAGTGTTATCCCTACGTCAGCCTGGAAAAGCTTTGCAACAAGAGATGTAGCTGTCAAAGTTCACAAACAGAAACAGGAACATTTCAGGATGTGAACATGGGCCACATGTTGTTAATATAAAGAAATAACTGAAAGTTTGTCTGTGTTTAGATCTGATGTCTGTCTTTGTCTGAGCCGTTCCCTCTGTTCAGAATGTGACACTGTTTGCATTCTGACTTTTGATCATCTATAATTGGTGCCTAAACACTGACTGAAACACTCGGTGTCTCCATACACGACGTCTGAGGTGTTTTTTTCTACAAGTCTCGTCGGCTCTTCTGATCCACCCACACTTGTTGATCCCTTTCCGGAGAAGCTACGATGCTTTTTACCTTCATAACAAAGATACAAAAATGTTTAGCATCACATTTTCAGAATTGTCATATCCACTGGTTACCAAAACACCAGATCTTGTGACATCCCCAGTTCAGAAATCACTTTAGTCCAGTTTGGGGTGACGTGAACATGTGTGTCAAATTTAAGTCATGTCACAGTTATTGAAATATTTCACTGGTGGTGGTTTACCAATGGAACTGGATTCATCCTCTGGGGAACGGGAATCACTCCACTGCAGATATTTCATTGTTGCGCTGATGGACACTGCAGACCCTAGAGCCATGCCAGCTGAGTGGCAAAACATAGAATTAATGAAATAGAAACCACATGAGGGTACATCATCTTCCTGGATGAAGCTAATTTACACTAAAACAAAACTGGAGCTACATGAAAAGTTTCAGATTTTCAAATGCATCCTTTGATTTGTCACACAGACCACTGTCTTCTACGCCATCTCTGTGTTCAGTTTATATTTTAACTTCTTATACTTTCATATTCTCCAATCAGCTATTGATTATGTTAGTTCACCAAGTGTGCAGATGATTTATGATGAAAACCATTGTGCGTGCCTTAGAACTGTGTTTGCTGTTGTCCGCCCTGCAAGAAGATGGATTTGGAGACACATTTAAAAGATGGATTTTGATAAATCGCGTCTAGTGGTTTGGAAATATTGTGAAGTTATTTAAGGACACGGCAGATATATTTGTGTACTATATTTATCAGCCGGTGTCACAGCTGTTGGAGACGGCTCTCGGTGTTCCTCCTGGAAAACTAATGCAGCATCCACAGCACAATCCTCTTGGAAAAACAAATGTGATACATTGAAGGGGGCTGAAGTGTAGCTGCTCGGAGCAAACAGTTTGAAAAATGCTCCTGGTCTAACTGTGCGGCGGATATTAGTCTGTTTTTGGAAACAACAGAACATAACGTAAAGAGCTGGAGCACGTAACATTAAGAGAAGATTTAATGAAGTGGAGTTTAATGGCAAAGAAGAATGGAAGGAGAGCATCCATTCTCCCCGTCACAGGTGTTCACACTTCATTAATCAAATCTTTAAAAACAGACCGACATGTGTAGGCGACCCGATAGATGAGTTGTTATGAGCGTACTGCACATCAGTCGCTTGCTCTCTTTTCCCACATTATCTGTCTGTCTCTGCCACTTTAACATTGTTTTTGAATGTTTGTAGGGACAATTTAGAAAACCTGTGGTATTTCCAAAGACAACCTCATCTTACAGCATAGTATGAAGACAGAATACAGGTCATGAGGAATATTTTATTGTATATTTTGTTGCTGTTGCTACATTTTTGAACTATAGGTGAATGTAGTAACCGTGACATTACCCATTGGTTTGAGCATTCCTGTTTTAAAGCCTTGATTTTGGCATCTGGCTGGCACCATCTTGATCTTTCAAAGCCAGACATAGTAAGTGAGGGGTGACTATGACTGGAAACTGAGATATGTTCTGCTTATTGTCTGTTTTACTCTAAATAGGACCTTAATTGACCAAATGAACATCATGTTGTGTTGATGGAGACTTTAAACTAACATTTCAAACCTTGAACTCAGTAGGAAAATGTTTACCGTGGCAACTAATCGAGTGATAAGTGGCATCATTTTCTCATAAACTTCTCGATAGTCTGACTTCTCAGAGGAGTCAGCCCCCTGCTGGCGGCCTGAAAGAATGCAGTAAAGTGCAGGCAGCGTTTACACAGAGCAGAGAGGAGACAAGGATGGAAAGTAATTGAAAATGTACGTTGTATAATATATAGAATGGGGATCCAACATCTTTCTCCATTTTTCAAACAAATATAACAAACTCAGTTGTTTTTTTTGTTTGTTTTTTTTAAATGATACATGACATTATAACTGTGTCATCATGCACAGAAGACATTTTTGACTTCTCTCTCCTTCTACTCATGGTTGTGCTGTTTCCATAGAGGTGCAGGACTTTATGTTGCAGTGAAAAATCTCAGTTCAGTTCAGAACTGAACAAGCCTCTGGGATGAAAGGTGAAATGTCCCCTAAAAACCAAGAAGATCGGTCAGTTTGCTGAAACACTGGGTGTCTATGACCACATATCTGCAATACTCTCACCAGTCTCAGCTGTACTTTGGGCTTGCTGCTAATTAGCAGATGTTAGAGTGCCAGAATGCTACAGTGAGAGGCTACAGATGGAGCTGCAGCTTCTTGTTTTCTCCCGTTTAGATCAACTCCTCCCCCCATGTCTTTTCTGGAACAACACTGAAAATACAGATTTACTTGAAGGCTTGCAAGTGAAAATACAGTAATTACAGCGAGACCTGCAAATCATTAATGCAGATCAAGTTTCTTAACTTGTGTGTTTCTGTCATGAAAGTTGCAGCAGTGATGTGTTTAAAACAAAACACAGCGTTAATGTATCTTCCAAATTGCTGTACTCACTGTAAGCCAGTCGTGTTTCTGTTGCCAGATTGTGAGCCAAAAATAATCAACAATATGTTCCAGGGATAATTACAGGGATAGGGCTGATTATAATTGCATATTAACATAATATTGTAGAACAAAATGTAATCTGGGACTTAATTAGACTGCTTTATAGTATATGGAGTAGTAAAGTAGACTTAAAGTGACACACAAAGGATGACTCAGTACTTCAGAGCTTGAGCCCACTGCTCTGTAATCAGCAGGAAATACACTGTACAATGCAATAAGCATTACTGCAAAGTGGCTGTGTGATTCTGTGAGAGTCTGAAAGACTCGCCAAGTTCATTAAAAAACGTTCACTCAGAGAAATCCTTTGTACGCCTGAAAAGGAACTTGATGCTGAGGTCAGCGGCTGCTCTTTTTAAACAATTCAGTATTTGCAGTCTATTCTTTACCACGTACTCACCTCGGCTCACCTCGGCCCAAATCCCCGACGAGCAGCAGACACTGACGGTGAAATTTCTTGATGAAAAGTGATAAATGGAATTCAGATTCAGCCCCTCACTCTGACATTTCCCCTCTCAGTTTGTCATAACTTCTGCTGCACACCACAGTATCACAGGTACAGGGCTGTTTTCCTCTCAGATGTGAGTGAATTTGTGTTTTCTGTGGTGTAACATGAGCATTACTTTAAGATACTGAATATTTGGACATATTTGAAATCCTACTCTCACTCAGCATTAACATTAGTCCTGGTACCAGCTGTGCATGTGCGTAACGAATTCAAGTAAAGAGTGTAGACAATAAATGAAGCACCGATTATGTGGTCAAGGGGAATATTGTCAGTGTTAAGCTGTTGGTTTTGGTTGAGACTCAAGTATGAAAGTTTAGCTGTTGATTCATCACAAAGTCCTGACTCCTCTGTCTCTGCTTTGGTTCGATTTCCAGCCTCTGATATTGTGAGCTTCGACAGCGGCAGCAGCGGTCTGGTGTTCAGGTTGAGTCCCCGGCCGCGGAAAACGTCCAGAGAGGTCGTCTCTCTAAAGTTTAAAGCCCTGAGGAATTCTGGGACGCTGCTGCAGGCGGAAGGACGGGACGGACTCGGCCTCAGTCTGGAGCTGGAGAGAGGAAAGCTGCTGCTGCTGCTCAGACAAGGTACAACACCAGACCAACACACTGACATCCGCTGATGGGAACTGACATCTCCTCATACATGCTGGAGCGCTGCACTAAAATCTGTTGTGATATTTGTATTATTTGCAGGAGAAAAGTCTTTTTCCTTCCACTGAAAAAGAATGAAAAGAATTTTGGACTTTTTCGCTTTTCATGGTACATTCATGTGTGATTAAACTGAAAAATCTTTAAATATTTGGACTTAATAATGTTCACAGATCACACAAAATGTCAAAAAATAAAAAATCCTCTCCTCTCGTTAAAGAACAGACAGCATATATTTGATTATGTGCTTTGACAGGCTAACACATTTTCCAGCAGCTATGTACCACTTACATTTACATTCATACACAACGTCGAGTATTTCAGATTTCCAGTGAAAAACTCGGTTCAGCGCTGAGACATTTCGCTGTTGAATTGATGAGTCACTTCGTGGCTTCATCGGTACAGAACATCCGTATAAGGTTGAGGACAAAATAAACTCGTCTGAAGCAAGTTTAGACGGTTTTTTAGCGGGTGAGACGGTGGACACGGACGCTGCCACCCGATTGGTTTAAATCTTGGCTCCTTCTCTGCTGCTGCATCTCTGTCTAGTTACAGCCGTGATGGATGGTAGCTGCTCGCTGTAGCATGTGCTAGGGCTGGACTGATGCATGGCTTACAGTGTGTGTGTGTGTGTGTGTGTGTGTGTGTGTGTTTGTGTGTGTGTAGTGTGGTGTGTGTGTGTGTGTGTGTGTAGTGTATAAACAGGGTTAAACCTGAGGTTGTTGGGCTGCCATTCTGAATCATCGCCACACGGCTCACCTGTCATCAGCATTCCCATCTGGCTTCATCCATCCTTCTTTTTGATCTCTCTCCTTTCTATATCTAAGTTTTTCCTCCTCTTTGTTTTTATCTCCCCTTTTATCTACCTCCCCGACATCTATTTCTCACAAATGCTCTTCATCTCAGCCTCCTTATCTTCCTTCGTCCCCTCCCTCAAGTCCGTCAAACATCCCACCTTTTATCTGTCCGTGTAGCTGCTTAGCGTGAAGCACATCCTCAAAGAAAATAACAGTTTTAAGAAAGGTTATCGCATTAAGGAAACGCTGTATGTGCACGTAAAGAATCTGTACCGCCTTTAAGAAATGACCCAGACGTCTCAGGGATGTGTCTGTCGCTGTAACAAGTAGACCACCTTGAAAAACTGTCTACTTAAGAAGACAGACTGTGTCACCTTCGAGAAAAAAGCCACTCACTACAACACTTACATCGACGGTAATTATAGCGAAGGCTGTTTGCCCTTAATCAGATTCTGTGTCATTTTACATTAAGAGCATCCTTCTTTTAAAACCATCATCTTGAAGACAGGCTGCAGCTCGGTGACAAGACACTGAAGCCATGCACTGAACTGAAAAACAAGTCTTGTCTTTCTTTGTGTTCTCTCTCCATCCTTATGTGTTTCCCTGCATGACTCTTGGCTTCTGTTTTCCTCCTCTTCTCTTGTAATTACATTTGTTTGTGTTGGTTTGTCTCCCCAGATCTCTCAGTCCTTTATTTTTTGCTATCAGAAGAGACCCCTTGCCTTTTTTTTTTTTGCTCTACTTTCTTCATTTTTCACTCTCCTGTTTTGCTATCTTGTCCCTGACACACTCACAAAGTCCCTTTTGATTTTTCCCCCAACCATCATCTCGGTTTCCTTCATTGTTATGTATCTCAGCCTTTTGAATGTGCCAGAATCTTTCTTTGCCTCTGTTATGTGTTTTTAAAAGCGGCCATAAGCCTTCTTTTAGTTCAGCGTCCTTCAGCTTTCCGTCTTGTGTTATACGCTTTATTTATGTCTGTCTTGAGCTTTTTTTAGGTTATAGATTGTATAATTCAGGTCATCTGCTGTGTGCACTGACCCTGAGTTCATGCACGGTCCGCTCTGCTCTTCTAACGCTAACAAATCTGGGACCGACCCCCCCAGAGCAGATGCAGATTGCTTTCTGAGGCAACGCTGAGTAACAGCGGCTCTGTCCTGGATAACACAGGATAACCCAGAAGTCAAGTTTGAAACTTGATAGTAGATTAATTACTCTTCAGCAGATGCTACTCCGGTCTGATCTGGTTCTCAGTACTGTCATGTCATATAAACAGTCTGGAAACTGATTTCTACTCTACATCAGGAGATATTTTTCATCACATCTGTCTGATTTGTGCCACCATTTGTCAGTCAGCCTTTATACAAAACAGATGCTGGTGCGATTAGTCACCAGAATCGATGGCATTTATTTTGAAAATGCTTCAACATTAGTATTTTAAACTAACACTTTTCTGTAAAAGGCTTAAATTCTTGGCAACAAATGTTTTTCTTCAGTGTCACTACGTTCACATTTTTGACTCCAGTCATTGGTCAGCTGCAGGCAGCACTACAGTATTAAACCATGACAGCAGCAGCAGGTCCGACTCAGTTCGGCGTCAAAGTTTCCAAAAGATAAAAGTCTTAGAGAGCACAGGAGTATGTCACATGATCAGATAACAGAAAACTGGTTCGTACACGCTGCAAAATTTGATGCAGTGCACGAACTGTTGAAAAGAAAACACACAAAGTGTTTTCTTCTCTCCTGCTCTCTGTGCTCACATTTAGTAGATAAAGCTGTTATCATCCACCCACGTATCTGTTTCTGTTGTGAATGTATGAATACATGAGAGTTATAACGTCATCAAGAACCTAAAAGAGAAGTCCACTGGTTTTTTCTAGCAGTCACCTGTAAGCTGCTGCTATGCATTGCTAAAATGAAGATTTAAGAACTACAGCAACGTCCGACTAATAATTTAAAGACAGCGTTAGTGCTGTGATTTTCTCCATATATTCAATGACTCTTCAGGAAGTACAAATGGTCCTGAATGTGTTTTCGCTTGATCAGCTCCACTAAATTTCACTTATTGTGCTAAACACTAAAATCCAGGTTAGGTGAAAAGTCTGTTGCTGTGTTTTGAATGTCATTCTTAATATTTGTCAGAAAGCACAAAACTTCATGGTTCATTTTGTATAAACCATTTCAAGATGCTAATACCACAGCAGCAGCAGCAATAGTTCCTCACTTTGTAGAGTGCGCACACAGCAAAAAGGTAGTTTCTTCCCTTTTCTGTCTATAGGGGCACATGCTTGATGAATCACTACATGCTGCACGCTGTAAGAGTCCAACGAACAAAACGCTTTCAGCCCTCTCGTGAAAAGTGGGGTGCATGTAAAGGGGTTAAAGAAAAGTGGATGATTCACCTCACTTCACCTTCCACAGTGGAAGAAAACTAAAGAAAACTTTTGAGGCAGCAGAAATCTTGCAGCGAACTTCTCACTCGGTGACCCGAGTTGTGAGTCATTACCGAGCTGCTGTGACAGACGTTGTGCTTTATGAGAGTCAATTGCTGAAATAATTATACCAGCCGCTTTTCTGATAAGAGCAATCAGATTTTGAGCAGCCGTAATAGAATAGCAGACAAGATACAGTGAAGTGATATTGTCTTGAGGGCATGTGTAGAATGATAAAATTATACAAACTAGTGTTTAGCACAGACTGTAATGAGGAGAGAGCAGCATCAGTCTGAACCCTCTGGATATGAGCAGGAACTGCTGCAGTCCTTTACAGGTTAAACAGTTTTTCCTGTCTTTTTCTGAGCGGTGTCTTGCTCAAAGGCACATGAGTTATAGTCCAAATCTCATTTTATTCATCCAAAATCAGGTTTAGGTCAGGATGACGACAGCTGATATGAGAAACAAGGTCAGTGATAACGTACAGAGACCTTCTCTCTGAGGTTTGTCTAGTGAGGATGTGAATGAAATTTCTTCAAGTGTCTTTACAGTCATTGATTAAACCCCTTAAAATTCATGTTTGTAGATTAGATTTTAAAAAAATTTTTTAATTCTATTTTTTTTTAAATTTCATTCATTAAGTTAAAACAAAATAATTAAACATGACACAAACATATTTTTCTCCACAAAAATAATCCTTTCTTGCCCGAAAATGACTTAAATGTAACTCGACACTGTTGTGTTCTCTAGAATGTGCAGATCTATGGAGCTGCTGCCTCTTTCATCACCCACACCTCCACACTCACGGCAGCTCGAGCACACCAGCTCACCTGAGACTGTGTTTAAACACTGTAAAACACTATGCAATGGCAAACTAAAACACTGGAGTAATTCAGCCATACATGTTAGGAAACAGGTTCTGAACAGAACGTACTACCCGGTTAAAAGAGGTTAAAAGAGTGCATGTAGATAAAACCCTAAAGTCTAAATCAGTGTTTTTGAGACTGTTGTTAGTACGCTACAGTTTCAAGCTGGAAATGCATAGTCATGGCATTGACTGCATATTTTATCCATGATATATCTTCTCGCAATGTATACTTACATTTTTATTTTCCTACCACAGTGGCACTTATCCAGGTTGTTTGCTCCTGACCAGATCCTTGCTTGTGTTGTATCTACTCTCAGACGTACGTTGCTTTGGATAAAAGCTTCTGCAAAATGAAATTGTAAATGTACATCTTTAATTTTTTGTGCTCATATTTTGTACTATGTATGTATTTTTAGGACACTGCATGTGTTTGTCTATATTTTTTTCTAATTCTGGGCTGCAAGGTGGCACAGTTGGTAGCACTGTTGCCTCACAGCTAGAAGGTCGCCGGTTTGCGTACCGGTGGGGGCACCAGGATCTTTCTGTGTGGAGTCTCCATGTTCTCCCCGTGCAGCGTGGGTTCTCTCCGGGTTCTCCGACTTCCTCCCACAGTCCAAAAACATGCTGAGGTTAATTGGTGATTGTAAATTGTCCGTAGGTGTGAATGTGAGTGTGCTTGGTTGTCTGTCTCTAAGTGTAGCCCTGTGATAGACTGGTTACCTGTCCAGGTGAACCTGCCTTCACCTTGAGTCAGCTGGGATAGACTCCAGCCCCCCATGACCCTGGTGAGGATTAAGCGATGTATAGATAATGGATGGATGGGTTTCTAATTCTGATTCTGGATTGTGATGAAACAACCAAGCAAGTACCATATTGGAAATGACAATGGGCAGATGGAGTGTTGTGTCAGTGGGATTTTGTCCACTTCTGGTGAAGTTGATGGACATTTTTGGGGGACATGGTCATGTTGTCAGACATCCAAATGATCGTGTGGCAGATTATCTGTGGTAGCATGCTGTCTAAAATGACAAATGGTGGAGATGTGGACATTCAGGTGCCTGGCTACTGTCGCATTGTGTCATTTGAATAAAGCTGCATCTTAAGGTGATCTTTTATAGTCACTGGTCAAAGAAGTGTCTGGTCTCTGGTCCTTCAAGTTGAACAGCTCAAAAACATTTCAAGCACAATTGGCTCTTCTGTAGAACAAACCCTCACAAAAAAACTTGTTTGGTGCACAAAAATTATCTGTGAGATGTCTTGTTTTGACAGTCTTAAGTGATCTATTGCTTTAATTGGACCTTTTCAACAGTTTGAATGCAGAATTAAGACTACAAGTAGACAAGTGAGCTCTGAAAGGCAGAAATGTCAGCCAAGTAATTCTGACATCTTGCTCGGGAACAGATATAAAGCTAAGTAAATTGACCTTTACAAGCTGTGAACGACACATATAGACACAGTATATAATAGAGAGTGCACAATGACAGTGTTCACTGTTCAAATACAAAACACTGAGGTTCGCAAGCAACTTGGCGACAGCCTGGAAGATGAAGAAAAAGGCTTTTATTGGATATACACTATAGCCTTGTACCATTGTTTTTCTTTCTTCTGCTATGTGATACACTGTTTGAAATTTGTACAAAAACACATAAAAACCTGTCATAAAGTCCTCCTATGAGCCTAAAGACAGTCGTGTGGCGATGGCTTCACTGCCAGAAAGAGATGGAACAACAATGGAGAGAAAACACATGAAGAGATGATGTTGAAAGGAGGTGCTGCTAAATATTCATATTAGAGTAAATTTCAGTGTTTTGGCCTCTCGTCTCTCATATTGATTCCTGTTTTCTCATTCTGATCATTCGTGCGGTAATCAAATCATCCATCCAATGAAACATCCATCCAGGAAGCTCCTCTCTTTCCTACTTACAGCGTGATTATTGTTCCATTAATCAATGCCAATAAAGAGATCGTATTTGTTTTTAGGTCATGCTATGCTTCCTCTCGTATTGATTGCACTCGCTTTCTATTCATCCAGACTGTAATCAAATAAGTCATCATGATAACTCCTCTGTATCAGGAGGTAAGCGTACCAGCCATTTCTCATCCGTATAAATCTATCCTCTGATAGAACGAGCTGAAATATCAAAGACGCATTTGTCCATCATCTTCAAACTTTCTGTTTCTCTCTCTGAAGTTGGAATTGTCACTCCCCAAAGAATATCTAATACATTTTTAATGACTGACAGTCTCGTGCTTTCACTCGGTAGAAACACAAAGTTTCTCTGCCGTCCCCACTGGGGGATGGAGATGGATCCTCTTATTAGGACCGGCTGGAGCTCATCTATCATTAATGATGTCTCACTATGTTTCTCTTTTTTTTTTTTTTTTCAAATTAGGGATTAACGCATATTTGGCTTCAGTTCTCAGTGTAAGTATGCAGATATATCGAGCAGTTACTAATGAGATGACCTCGCCGTGATCCTCCCTGTGGGAAGCGGAGAAAAGTGAAATATTTAGATGCAGTGTGGAGGCTGGTGCGCTGTAGCTGTCTGTAGGCTTCGCGCAAGGTCAGAAGGAAGCAGACTCGGGGGTCAAATATTGAGGAGACAAGAAACTTACAGGTAAAAGAACAGACAGAAGACTGAGGAAGAAAGTCAAATAGGTCACCTAACTGGAAAGAAAATAGATTAGCAGCTGTTACGTGAAGCCAACCCTCGTGTCAGATAACCAGAAAAACAGGATGCATTCACAAGTCGAATGAGCAAAACTTTGATCGATCTGCTTTCCCACTGAAACTTCAGTCCATCTTGTTAAATTTAATGCACGAGGTTTTCGTCTTTATGTCAAGATTAGACGTTTCAAATTAAACAGTGCCGACGTGTTGATGAAAAGACTGAGCCTGTCTTTGTCATTTCCATTTCTCACGATGTGATTAGTTTTCACAAATGTCTGCTTCATCATCTCCCCGCTGTTCATCCTACTCGCTTTCCATCTGCTGGCATCTGCATCTTCTCTCTTCGTTGCTCTTCTGCCTTTACCTTTTTCTTCCTCCTCACCTTTTCCACCCACCTCTGACTTCATGCTACCTGGCTTTCACTTGACTTTCCTCCTCTGCTGCATTTCTGTCTTTTTCTTTCCTTGTGCTCACTTGTTTGTTTTTTGTTTACCACCTCTTGTATTTGTTACCTGCCTCCTCTTGTCTCCTCTGCTCTGACCCTCTTTTTTTCTCTCTTCCTCGCTGTCATGTCTTTCAGGCAGGACTTCATCCTTGGAATCACGGCGCCTTGCCTCCCTCGGCAGTCTGTTAGACGATCAGCATTGGCACCATGTAGCAGTGGAGCAGAGAAACGCTCACCTTAACCTCACTGTGGACAAACACACGGAAAAAGTTCAGATACCTGCAGAGTTCAACCACTGGAACATCGAACAGGTGTGTAGAAACACAGACACACACCCTCACAAACATGTTGTAAATACAGACACAAATCTCTTTTTTACTCGTCTTGTGTTGTCTTTTACATGCAGCTGAGTGTCGGAGCCGTCCAGAGACTCGACTCCCAGAAACCAGCCATCTCAAAAAGGAACTTTCATGGCTGCTTGGAAAACCTGCTGCACAACGGCGTCAACCTGATAGAACTAGTGAAAAACAATGACCATCAAGTCGCTGTAAAGGTACGTACATTTTACCAAAAGCACCCAGTTAATGTAAATGAAATGAGTCAGAACAGGGAACTGGTATTTGGCTGATACAACAACTTAATGCATGAATAGCAAAACCCATCGATGGGTTTGAAGGCATGTTAAAAAATTGCCCAAATGTAATAATTTACAACATGAAGAAATCATAAAAACAGGAAGAATCAGCGGATTTTCAATACTTTCCAATCGTCCTTGAGCTAATCATGTGTGATTTTCGGTTCTGTAGAGAAAAACAACAAAATCTAATTTAATCAAAATCACTTTATTCTGCATGCTTCAAAAAACTGAAATCTTTACAATAACCAAATTCTGTTTAAAAAAACAAACAAACAAACAAAAAAATCTGTTGTCTCGACGTAACTCAGAAGACATTTATGTCTAAGCTGCCATCAAGAGACACGTGACAAAAATTCAGACACTTCTGGGCTGAACTGCAGGCTGTAGCTTAACAGGAAAGATATGAAAACAAAATCAAAATGTGAGGAGTAAAACATCTGTAATATGTGGAGCCACTGTGGTTTTTCCTGTGTTGGTGACACTTGTTGAACATTTTGATTCCAGGTTTTTCTGATTTTTGTGAAATAAATAATCCAAAAAATTCCACCTTAGCTTTTTTTTCTTTCTTTTTTTTTCTTTTCTTTTCTTTTTTTTTTTTTAATTTCTAACATTATAGCTGTCTAATAATTTACAAACCCCATTTCTGACTTCTTCTTCTACTCCTAGTCATGGCTGTGCTGTTTCCATAGAGGTGCAGGACTTGAAAAATGAGCCCGAACTCAAAAAAAGGGGGGCAGGAAAAAAAAAACACAAAAAGTACATTCATACTAATCATCTTATAATAGATATCAATACTGATCAATTACAAGATAAACAAGTGGCTCAATACACTCGATATGAAGTGAAATGTACCCAACTTTTTGGATATCATAAAAGATTTCCTTTTTCTGTAGCATGATAATGACAGATCACGTAAATCATTAGGGGAAAGCAAAGTGCTTTGATGTTCACTCCCTGAGCTCTGAGCTTTTATATCTGAGCGAGAATGCGGCATCAATAGCTGGAGCGGCGCCACCTCAAATGAAAACGGAAGGCTAAAATTGGCTCGCCGCGAAATGCTTTTAGGACGACCAAACGCTGGTGACACATTTTGCTTGTGGTGGGTTTTTTTTTTTTGCTTATTACAAGATTTTCAAACAAACTCAGCTCAGCTTTATTTAGGTGGCACCTTTCATCCAAGTTCTTCACAGAACAAGATCAAAACAACTATGAACACGAGTCAGTGAACTGTATGAGCAAGAAGAGATAACAGAGTTTGAAAACCAAGACAACAAAACTAAGACGACAAATTCACATGAAAATTCCTCTAAAAGACCCTAAAAACTCATGTCTGTGGATCAGCGTTACATATTTACATGTTTTGTCACTTATTTGGTTTAATTCCTCTGGAAAGCAGTCGAACACAGTTTGGAAAACGAGGATGTTGTTTTGTAAAGTGAGGGTTTTAGTTTAGAAACTACCAGTCACCTCCATCTTGAAGAAATAAAGGATGCTGAAGTGCTTTATATAATTAAAACATTATGTGACCTTTTCTGCTTGATTTTCATTCTAATTGTTGTTTTCTTGTCTGTGGAGTCAGATAAAATTTTGCTCCTCTTACCTGTTAAGAAAAAAAAAGAAATCAGCGGTGATGAGAGGTGAGATTTATGAGGCTGCCAGAAGGACCTGAGGATTGTTCTGGTTATGAGTTCACACAAGTGTCTGGCATTTCTCAGCACCTGATTATATTCTAAAAGATGATAAATAGAAAATTAGAGTTGATCTGGAGTTTACTTTTCTTCCTCAGCGTTTCTTTGTCTGTGTCTTTTAAGTGTATTTACAATCTGACTCTTTCACTGGGGCCGACACATCAGAGCAGGTTTGAACACAGTGAGGACAGATTCCACCACTAACCAGCTCTTTGCATGCAAAAATAACCTCAGGTCGGCCTTCAGAGTATATGAAGGGTGTTTGCAAACACAGATGCACTGCAAAAAAAAAAAAGAATTTTGAGAAAAGGTTATTTGTTTTTTAGTAATTGAATTAAAAAAGGTCAACTTTCAAATATTCTTCATTCATTACATGTAAAGTTCAATAGTTCAAGCCGTTTTATTGTTTTAATTTTGATGAATGTGGCAATACAGAAATATCCAACTTCTGCAAAGTGTGTTCATTTATTCACTGGAAACGTGGTTCCTTTACCAGGAGTTACTGCATCAAGATTCAAGAGTGTTTATTGCTCATATCGTATGTGCAGTGAAATGCAAAGCGTCCGTTCCTCAAGGCTCTATAAGAACCATAAGATACTGCGTCAGTGAATCTATTGAAGCCCGGGTTGCTGTGAAAGCAGCCGTCTTCCTCTTGACAACACCTCATATGGATTAAATGGGGTTCAGGTCAGGTGAGTCGACTGGCCAATCAGGTGCAGTAACATCATAGTCAGCAAACTGTTTGGTCTTAGTTGTGGCTCTGTGTGCAGTTCTGCTGGGAAAGGAAATCTGCACCTTCATAAAGCCTGTCAGCAGATGTCATAAGTGTGAAGTGCTCTACAGTGTCCTGGTTGACTCTGGACTCGATAAACCTCCGTGGACCAGCAGCAGCACATGACGTGGCACCAAAGATCATCACAGAACCTTCAAACACCTGTGATTCCGTGTCCCACCACTCTTCTACTAGACTTCCAAATGAAATGCAAAATTTTCTTTTATCTAAAAAGAAAAACCTCTTGACTACTGAGCAACAGTCCGGCTCTTTTTCTTCTCAGTCGAGATGGTCTCTGTTTTCGGAGTGGCTTGATGATAGGAATGCGACAGTTGGAGCCTCTTTCTTGAATGCACTGACTTTAGCCCAAACTCTTGAGGCGACTCTTCTCGACAATCCCCTCCTGGCTGCAGTCATCCCTGTTGCTTGTGCACCTTTCCCTGCCGCACTTTTCTTTTCTTTTCCAGTCGACTTTCCATTAAAGCTGCTTCAATACAACTCTCTGCCATCAGCCTGCCTTTTCAGCGTTGACTGTCTGTGGCCTAAACTCCTCGTGATGGTCGTCTTCTGGACAACTTTCAAGTCGGCAATTTAATTCAGTTTTTCAGTTCAATTTTATTTATATGGCTCCAATTCTCACAACATGTGTCACCTCACAGCGCTTCACATAATAATACATACACATTTTAACAGAGAAACACAATAAATCCAAAGTTTCTGTTTGATTCCCTTTCAGTAAGCACTTGGCGACAGGTGGAAGAGGGGAAAAACAAAACTCCTCTTTACTGGGAAGGACAAAAAAGAAAAACACTCAAGCAGGACCAGGCTCAGCAGTCTTCCCTATGATTGTGGCTGCGCTTCCTTAACTAGACAAAGAGTGTTTATATACTGTTTGAATAGTAAATTACTCAAACTGTTTTTTAAGATTATTTGAGCAATAAGCCATAATCATCAAAATTGAAAGAGAAAGATGTTTGAAATGTTGTACTTTACATGTAATGAGTCTAAAATATATTAGATTGTAATTTCCTTAAACAAGGATAAAGGAACAATGTACAAAAGAAAGAGGAAGAAATAGAAATAAGGTGCCAAGAAATACTTGTATTTACAAAAAAAGATGCAAAAATTGTTGGTATTTACAATAGAATAGAGTTCTAAAAGCACAAAAAGGTCCAATGTGAAAACACACCTCTGAATAATGAGCATGTAGGAGGGTCCCGTGGGCCCAGTTCTTTGGTTTATTGCACAGTTGAATATGACATTCTTTCATGATATTCTAAGAGTGTGAGATGCACTCGTTCAGGTACACCACTGGGAGATGATCTGGATGCTGGTGGTGTCGCTGTTAGCTGGTTAATGAAGCTAATGAGTCCTTAACGAGGACCGTGAGCGATGAGAGGACAGACGGTTTGTCTTTTAGTAACCCGTCCTTGTCTTTGTCATTAGAAAAAAAAAAAAAAAAGGTGATGTTTCTGCGGTGACAATAAGTGGAGCGAGCTCAGTAGAGAGCAACTGCGAACCATTTCTAATAAATGGTCTCTCATTACAGTTAAGGACCAGAGAGCAGGGAAACAAAAAGTGTGGGTATAAAAGGCTCCGAGATTCACATGCATGGCTGAAGGTCTAATAGAGGCTGTTTTACAAGAGTTCTGTGGCTCTCACAGTAATAGAGTATTAACACACTTATAGTCCATTTTAATACAGAGAGCACTTTGAGTTGTTCTTAAAGGCACAGTTACAAAATAATGTGGAGCCTGCAAAGACGTATGTAAGCAGGGGTGAGCGAGGAGCGTTTTGGGTGTGCCTGTGTGTTAGTGAAAGGCTTTTGAGGACTTTTATAGCCCACTTTTGACTTTATATTTTGCAGTGCCAATGCATTCCCCACCATATATCACTTTAACAGCTCTGCAAAGGGCTCTTAGATGTCATCTGTGTTTCCGGAGCATTATAAAGATAGCGGGCTGATATTCCCAGCAGACGCTGTAATGTATTACTGCTGCAGCCTTAGCAATGGACCCGGTGTCATTACCACTACTCAAAACAATGGACCGCAACGGAAATGTCTATATTGCACTGGATATGCATATCCCACCTCGCTCTGCAGCTCTAAGCACGGTGACATTTTGCATTCATGGCTTTTATTCTCAAGGAGACTCGCTGATGAGATCACAGCGACACCAGGTCACATCGACACGCCCTCTGCAGCTGATTAATATTCATGTTTCATGTTGTTTTATCTCTCCGGTAATCATTTCTTTCTGTCCCTCCCTCCTGTCTCTCCACTCTGCATGTTTCTCTCTCAGGGCAATGTGACCTTTTCTTGTGCTGAACCGGTTTCCGTCGCCGTGACGTTCACCGGCCCCCAGAGCTTCCTGCAGCTGCCGGGGGCGACGGCGTCCTCGCCGGGGGGCGTGTCTTTGGGGTTCCAGTTCAGGACGTGGAACAAGGCGGGGCTTCTGCTCACCTTTGACCTCCCTCAGCAGGGAGGTGTGGTCTGGTTGTACCTGAGTGAGGCCAGACTCCGGCTGCAGATACATAAAGACGGCAGAGCGCTGCTGGAGCTCACTGCAGGTCCGTCTGACAACCGCTGAAGTTGCTTTTCACCCCTTACATCTTGTTGCCTAAAATCTAAAAACGTTTATTCTGTAATTTCTTATGTAACCACCACCCTCTCCTCCCTTAGTGATTAATGTTCAACGTAGCTGAAAACCTTAGATTTTCTAAACTTCGTGATAGTAAATATATATATATGTTTTTTTTTTTATATTTGTGAAATTTTATCAAATACTTTCCGAGATTGCTTTTTTACTTTTTGCATGTGTTTTTTTTTCATACATTTTAATGTGAAGCTATGTTTGCATGACTTTCTTAACAGCTTTCTTTTCATTTTGTGTTTCATATTGTGTTATCAAATATGTTCTTTGGAACTCCAGAGCTCTGTTCTATTTGGCTCAGGCTATCTACTGACACTTTTGCTTATGGCGGCTTCAATTTATTTATTTATTTTCTCATATTTCGACTCACCCATAATCAGAGACTGTATGATGTACATGTTCAATATTGCAGATTGTGTATCAATGACATGATGGGAAAGTTTCAGGCTTTAATCTTTTACTGCTTCTGAGATCTTGTCCCTCAAACAACTTAAAATCTCAGTGCGTAAAAAAAAAAAATGCTGAAACTTCACTTTTTAACTTTTATTTGAAAGTATTTGATAGATGTGTCTAAAATCTCATTGATACCATTTAAAATATCCAGAGTTTATGGTTAAAAAAAATCAAAATCAAAATAAAGTTTCAAGCAAATCAGAGATGGCCGAGCAGAAGGTCCTCTGTGATTTGAGGACAATAATCCTGTGATTTTTTTTTAGCCATGGGGAGAAGACCTGCAGCAAATGGTCATGAGTGGGGCTCGAACCCATGATCGCTGCCTCAGGGACTATAGCCCCTGTTTATGGGCCGTCTGCTCAACTAGGTGAGCTATAGGGGCGCCCTCCAATGATCTTTTTACTCTGATCTTGTTCCAGGCTCTGCTCTGAATGACGGTCAGTGGCATTCGGTGGATGTTGCCTCCAGACGCAGCCGTCTGATCGTCTCTGTGGATAAAGAAGAAGGTGGCGTTGCTCATGCTAACCCGTCGTTTCCTGTCATTGTGGGAGGCCAGCTCTTCTTTGGTGGTAAGAATCATGGACTGTCTTTGGTGACAAAACTGTAGAAGGTGCTGTTTGCTGGGCTGTTAGAGGACAGCAAACTGAAAAGCAGCAAAACCTTGAAATCCTCATTCAGACATCAGTGTTGCTGGATATTATGCTGAATTCATATTAATACTAATGGAAGTAAATAAGAGAAGCATTCAGTAAAACATTCAGTCACCATTCAGGAGTGCTTTTGCCACGTGTAATTAAAGTTGCTCTCATTGATTAAGCCACTAAAAACATTTTTTTTTTAAATTGTAATATAATAAAGTTTTTGCATGTATTTTCTCCAGTAAAAATTTTACTTTACTGCCTTAAAATGACCGACATTTAACTCCACAGTTGATTCCTCCAGATCTTTGAAGCTCTGCATCTCAAGCACACCAGCTCACCCACAGCTCTGCTCAAACACTGTAAAGCTTCTCTACCCTGCAATGGGTTATAATAATGTTGGAGTCACTCATCCATGCATGTTTAAACTAGAAAACAATTCTGAAGAAAAAAGAAAGAGAGAGTTCGTCCCTGGAAAGCTGTGGCAGGATTGGATGTTCAGGTTTGTTACACATGAAATCCAGGAAGTCTAAATCTGAGTTTGTGAGTCCGTCATCAGTACACTGTATTTTGCTCATGATGTGTCTTCCAGCATTTAGAAAACACCATGTGGACATGTTAACAAGGCAGCAATTGATCTTCAAAGCGTTTGTTTAATCACATTTTGCAGTAACTCAGAGGTAGATGAGTCCCTGCAAACTTGGTTTCAAACGTGGTTCTCTGTAACACCACATGTTCACGAGAAAATTGAATTAATTACGAGTAGTTTACCTCTCAAACTCATCAGGACAGAGTGGATGTGGTCGATTACATTTGAATGTCAGTCGATTGAGAACAAAATGAAACCGACCGATGACTGTTACCAGGTGTGAGTTCAAACACTGCTTTATGTTGGTTCGGTTATGAAAGATCAGCATCATCCCCCTAAAAGCTCCAACCAGAGGAGAGAGGAGAGGATTAGCACATATTTCAGAGAATTTAAACCCTTTCATATTTCCATTTTCTTATTAGTCATTATTTAACTAAAACATGATTTAATTAACCTTATTTCTGACCTGGATTTACCTTTAACACTACGTCCCTTTTTCTTTTTGTCCTCTCTGTCGTACTAAATGCAATAAAAAAAAAAGCTACCACCTCTTATCTTAAAACACCTTCCCAGTCCGGTCTGTGACGTTAACACTGACTACAAAATGTTTCTGTTTCAGCGGTTTAAATGAGCATCGCCATATTTTCCCCTGAAAGACGTGTATTAATATTTAAAAGTTGTTGATATTGCACAGCGCAGTCGGTGTCGTAAATTCTCACCTTCAGCTTGTGGCTGTTTTATAATGAAAGTTATAAGTCTGCTGTATCTTCATCTCTCTTCACCCTGTTGTCCGCTCATGCTGTTCTCCTCGTCCCCTCCTCGTTTTCTTTCCTCTCTTTTCTCTCCAGTCTTTTGCTTCGTTTGTTCCATTTTATTCTTCCTCGCTGCCAGAAAAATCTCGTCTCTCTTGCTTTCTCTCTGCTCAGCGTTATTGCAGTCCAGGCATGTTCTCCAAACTGCCGTGGGCTTTTTATCATCCTGCACGTGCACGCATCTACACACATGCACTTTCAGTATCTCCTCTTTCACATTAAATGGACTACAGCAGTGAGAAATTAGCTGTATTCATTTGGCATACATTTGCATGATTTCACCCACTTAGGAAGTCACAAAGCACCACAGATCACAGCTTGACTGTCACACGTTTACCACAGTTCTACGTCACGTTGCTCATCAGGAAATCACAAAACGTGTGCGTGCTGCATGTTAACTCTTTTGTCAATTTAATAAACTCATTGTGAATTTTAACCATCTTCCAATTTAGCTGCTTTGTGTAAATGGAGTTTTAAATGAAACGGCTGTGTTTGCTTCTTTTTTTTGATGCAATCACTGCTCTCACGTTGTTCTGTTTTCTAAGGTTGTCCTGCTGATGACCACAGTCAGGACTGTGAAAACCCCTTCAACGTCTTCCAGGGCTGCATGCGTCTCCTCACTGTGGACAACCAGCCGGTGGATCTGATCAGAGTGCAGCATAGACTGCTGGGAAATTACAGCCAACTGCAGATCGACATGTGCGGCATCATCGACAGGTCAGGAAAACCATCGAAGCCCATCTCTGTGGGAAATCGTAGTTTTACCCTCCTTGCCTCGCTGTTGTCGCTCAAATAAGCCCTCGTGCTTCATTTCATCCACATAATGCACCAGGTGTTTTCCCTGATCACGTGGTGTTTTAGTGTTTGGAGCGTGGAGCCCTCGGGGAGTTTGCTTATGGGAGTCTGGGAGTGTTCAGTGTGTAACGCTTGGCACAAATTTAACATATTGTTTTTCTGGTAAAATGATTTCTTTCCTCCCGAGGGAGCACAGTGTTTTGCAACAGCCTTGGAGATATGTTTGCTCTCAGGATGCGAAAATAATGGAGCTGTAATGAATACAAACACTACAGTATGCAGAGGAGCAATTATCAATGTGCCATAACCATAATTAACCTTTTTGTCAATTCCACAAGCCAAGAAGAGAATAAATGAAGATCATTAAAACAGAACTGATGGCATATAAAGGACTGCTGGTGTCTAAACAAGTGGTTGAGTTATGACATAATTCCCTACAAGCATCGTAGTGAAAGGTTTAAGGGAAGCTACACATGAATCCCCACATGTAACATACCAGGAGTGGGGTTCGAACCCACGAGGGCATTCGCCCATTGGATCTTAAGTCCAACGCCTTAACCACTCGGCCATCCTGGTTACGTCTCTGCTCTCTTTTCAATGCGGCCAAATGCCATCAAGAATACAGTTTTTGGCTTCTATGTAAACATCACATTGATTTAATAAAAATTCGAACTAATTACTCACATTATAGCCCCAGTGCAAAAGATCAAATGGTAAATCTGTTCCAATGTGACCACGCAAGGTCAGGTGTCAGCGCAAGAAACTTGTTTGACACTCATTAGTGCTGCACAAGAATTCAATTAAACTTTATTTGCATACTCGTAACATGTGTGGGCTCAGGGCAGTCCACATCGTCAGGTCAAGACATTCAGGCAGCATGAGGGGGAAAGAGGAGAAGGAAGAAACATCACGTCACTCTGTGTCCACTTAAAAGTCAAAAAGTTAACTTCAACTGAAGAAGATAAATAGAAGACAGCAGAGGGAACCACGTCAGGGTTTTGCTGTTTGGATCTTAATTAAAACATGTGATCACTATGGTTTTAATGCAGTGCCTTAACTACTGATGTTCTCTGGTTGTCCATCCGTTTGTCCCGTTCTTGTGAAAGTAGTTCTTCATGTCTTAGAGGGATATCTTTGAAACAAGTTAGAATTTGGCTTTTAAAGATCACTGTGACCTCACAAAATCACAGCTCAAGAATTCAGTTGCTCACTATGACACAAATGTCCAACATGATAAATGTCCTCAGAGCTTCAGTAAATGAGGCAGTTGGACTTTTACTTCTTGTAGAACATAAAAAAGAAAAATCTAGTTGCTTTTTAAACTGAAACGCTTTGGATTAACATGACCTGGATGAGTGAGAAAATACAGACGCGTTGAAATGATGAAGTGGTGACATTTTATGCCCAAAAGGTCAGACATCGACGGTGAACAGACACGGCTCTGAAGCGTCCTGATAGACTATCATTCAAGAGAAATGTAAGCAGCATGTTGATTTGAAAAAGTCTCACTCACATGAAGGTCAGAGATAAATCTGTTAAACATGAGACCACACGAGGGCAATAACATGTCAGTATATACAGTATATATATATGAGCTGCTTATGTGAAGTTACCAGTTGTAGAATCCTCATTGACTCCACCAGGACTGGGGTTTGGGGGCATCTACCGATTCAAGTCTGGTGTCTACAGCAGATCTGTGATGCACTTTATCGATTCACACCATGATTTCAGGATGCTGTATGTGGCACTTCAGGCTAAAGTGAGATTCCAGCTCATGAGAAAATGAAACCCAGACATCCTCAGTAGTTTTTCTTTTTGCAAAAAACTGACCATGTGAACCTCAAAATTATCCACTATTACCTGCTTCAGCTGAAAGGTTCAACTCTTCATGTAACAAGTACCAACATCAGTCAGTCTTTAGCGCTCATTCACACGACACAACATGTGAGGTCAGGTTCAGATTTTTGCTCGGTGTGTACTTTAATATCCTCAAGTTGAAAAGTCAGAACAAGAAGTTTTTATATGAAGTCACATTAAGCAGTTTAGTCCAAAGCTAATGTGGTGCCAGTTACACTTACACAGGACTGTACACTTTATCAATCAACAGATTTTATGGATTAAATGTTAGGAGCAGGATTTAAACCCACAGCAACATGTGTCCATTTCAGCTGCAATATCTCATCATCTCTGCAAACCTTGTTACATCTGCTGTTCAGTTTCAATCTACAAGATTCACAAGATTAACACAATAAAGAGACTAATGTTATTGCACCGTGAGGGCAACATCAAACTCCTCAAACTGATGCCATCCAGCTGTGCCGGCAGCTGAGCAGAAGAATAGAGATGCATCGCCGATATGCAGCACATATTCCTTTGATTTTAACATTTAAAATAAATAAATGAATGAAAAAGTGTCATGTTTTTATTACATTTTCTTAACTAGGTGGAGCTCATGATGAGTTCAAAACCAAATTATAAAACCACAAAGATCACAGTGAAGACTTTAACTGCAGGTGAGAGAAGCAGTTGTTTTCTATTAGCTCTTTGACCTTGATGAATGCGATGCAGACACCTGTGCAGCTAAAAGAGCAGGAGTCACGTTCTGTCAGTCAGAAGTGAGGCACATTTTTTAATTCTCTTCTGGCCTTTCTGATGGTTTTGTCACGTAGCTTTAAATGAGACTCAACTTTTGTGGAAGTGAAATGTAATTTTTCTTTTCTTTGATTTTTGTGGCAGAGTAATTTATTTGTGAGGTGAAGCGTTGTGCCGTGCTGAATCCGGGAAAGCAACAAACAAACACACACAAAGAAATAAAGAGCACACTAACAGTATTTCCATTAAGGAATGGAGAATTATTGTTCAGTGGAGATCTGAGGTGTGAAATAACCACTCACGACCCTGTTTGTTTCTTTCTCTCTGCTATCTGACAAATCAACGTTTCCAGAAGGTTTTCTTCTCTCACCTTTCTCACATAAAACGTTATTCTTAGCTGTGTTGTTTGTCTCTTAGTTTTGAGTTGTCGTCTTTGATCAGGCTGTTTAATTTAGCATCATGATGGTGTAGTAGCATCACTATCACTGTGAACTTGACAGTTACAGAACTTTAAGTTCAGATTTATTAGGTTTCCTTCCCTGTCTGTCATCTTAAAATTTGGCATTCTGGTTCTCTGTCGCAGTACGTTTTGTGAATCCTACAGGAGTTGCTTTGTGCTGCACACCAGTTTCTGTTGTGTGGTGCCATAGTAGCCTAAGAGTTAATCACAGCATCCTTAATATTAATGCTCATACAATGAGTGCATGCAAAAAACAAAAATATATCTTTCAATGTTACCTTTCTTTCACCTCAGATTTGAAATATGATGATCAATGCAGAACGTAATAAACTGACGAAGGCTAAAAATCTTGATCTTGAAAACAACTCACACAAGAATATGAGCTGAAAGTCTGCCGCCATGCTAGCAGCTCCGTAAGGCGACGCATAGGGACTGTGGAGCTCAGTGAGAAGTCTGATTATCATCACAATGATTACAATGAATCCTGGAAGAGACATTGATCAAATTTCAAGGCAACTCATTCAGTAGTTGTAGACTTTCCACTTGACATAAGAAATGTTAACCACATGTTGCCTTGCTACAGAAAAAGAAGATCGCCATCCAAAGTGTCAAAGCTCAAAATGAATTATCAGGATTTTGAAATCCCAAGTTTTGCAATTCAGGATCAGCTAATCCACCAGCATGGGGCTACTTCAAGTGGTTTTATTTGTAAAGACAGAAAACAGCACAGAAATAAACAAAACAACATCATCTTCCTTTTCAAGTTTCTTTCAAAAAGTGAAAACAACAAGTAAATATAAAAAAAACAACTAATACACAGTATTCATTATATTTTAACATGTTTTAACTGATAAAAATCCCATATGTGCAGCAGTTAACAGCATGAATGAGTCCTTTATTCATGAAGAGAGGCTTGATTAGTTTAATGTACGTCTATCCATACATGATAGATTCAGAAAGAGAAGCAGAAGAAGAGTTCTTTTGTTTATTTTTAATCTCAGATCAGGAAAATGAGTCATGTGGAGCAGAAACATCACCTGCTGTCTCCGTGATACACCAAAAACACAATTAAAGGAACGATTATAGCAATTAATAAAAGCGCCCCTCGACAACAACCAGCAAAGACACTCTGATGCATGTACATATGAATATCACACACACCAGCTACACATTTTCACTACAGAAAGAGAATCTGCTCCAGCGCTTTTAATTAAATAATGTTCTTTTACTGCATTTATCACATAATTATTCTGCAGAATTCAGCTCCTGCACAGATCTGACTGCTCACTGGAACAGAACAAGAGGAAAAAAATCATATTTCCCACTGTACGTTCCCACTGATTAAATTCAGGGTCCATGAGATATGAGGTTTAAAGGAAAATGGAGTCACAGTCAAACCCTCCAAACACTTCTCTGACCTCGGAACAGGCCATTGCCTCAGTGTTTATGTGTCTGTATCCAGGTTTAATAGCAGAGTAACCTCATGCAGCGAGTACAATGTAGAAGCAGCCGCGCATTTAATAGACTTGACCCATCAGTAGCAGGACTGGAACTGAATCAACACACAGATCTAATTTACTGCAGGTCTAACCCATGTTAGCGCTGCAAGCAACATGATAGCGGTCCGGCCGAACACGACACCAGTAGCACGGTTCAGACACAGTTACACACTTATCAATTCTAAGCGATCGAAGGAGAATCATGTTTAATACCCATACCTCTGACAATAGACACTAAATACCAGGAGTGGGATTTGAACCCACGAGGACTTGTATCCATTGCATCTTGAGTGCAACGCCTTAACCACTCGGCCATCCTGGTCCTGTCAAGCTTCAGTTTTATTGTAGATATGAAGATAAGCTGTCCTGCT